TGTCCTGTCTAATTAGCATATTATGCTTGTATTATTATAGATTGCTTGAAGGAGAAACTAGGGATCTTAAGGAATGTGATTAGATTTTTCAAAGCCCTGTTCTCAAATGCAAAGAAAAATAAAGCACTTTTGAAAGAAGACTCTATTTTAAAAAGACTGTTAAAATTTTATATTTTCAGCTATTAAGAACTCAAGGACACTCTATATCTTAGGGGAACATTAAATGTTCATTTTAATTATTTACTATAATTATTTGAGCATCAATTGAATATTTAAGAAGTTTTTAAATCTATGGTGACAGAAGATTTGACTTTGTGTGGTGGACCCACAATGCAGTATATAGATCATATATTATAGAAATCTGTATTTGAAACCTTTATAATCTTACTAACCAATGGGACCCCAATAAATTTAATTTTAAAGAAAGGAAAAAAAGTGCAAGATAATTAAAAAAAAAAAAAAGGTTTTCTGAAAGTTACTACTGATCTTTCCTAAATAAAACAGAGAATATGTTTAGGAAGCTCACCCTTTTTTCTCCCACAACATTTTAGGAGAAATAGAATTATCTTTACCTTGCTAATGGCACATGGAGGATAGGAACCACAAAGACCCCATATATCGAAAGCAGTATTAAGAAAGAAGAATAAAGTTGGAGGTATCACTCTACTTGATATCAAATTACACTACAAGACTATAATAATCAAAACAGCATAGTACTAGTATAAAAACATACATAAAGTTCAACGGAACAAAATAGAGAACCCAGAAATAAACCCACACCTACATGGTCAATTAATCTATGAAAAGGAGGCAAGAATACACAGCGGGATAAAGACAGTCTTTTTAATAAATGGTGTTGAGAAAACTGAACATACGCATGCCGAAGAAAGAAGCTGGATCATTTTCTTACACCCTATACAAGAATAAACTAAAAATGGATTAAAGATGTAAATGTAAGACCTGAACCCATAAAACTCCTGGAGTAATAACATAGGCAGTAAAAATTTTAACATAGATAGTAATCAATACAGTTTTTGGATATGTCTCCTCAGACAAGGGAAACAAAAAAACCCAATGGGACTATATCAAACTAAAGAGTTTTGCACAATGAAGAAGCCATTAGTGACGAAAAGACTACCTGTTGAGTGGAAGAAGACATTTGGAAATGATACATTCAGTAAGGAGTTAATATTCCAAATATATGAGGAACTCATACTACTTAACATAAAAACATAAACAATAAATTAAAAAATAGCAGAAGACCTGAATAGACATTTCTCCAATGAGGACATACAGATGGCCAATAGAAGCTCAACACTACTAATCCTCAGCGAAATGCAAATTTAAACCACAATGAGAGATCACCTCACAACTGCCAGAATTGCTATTAATAAGTAAACAAAAACAAATAAGTGTTGGTGAAGATTTGGAGAAAAGGGAACACTTGTGCACTGCTGGTGGGATTGCAAATTGCTGCAGCCATTATGGAAAACAGTATGGAGGTTGCTCAAAACTACTATAAAACTAGGACTACCATATGTCTTAGCAATTCTGGGTATTCACCTGAAGATTTCCAAAATACTAATTCAAAAAGACATATGCTCCCCTATGTTCATTACAGCATTACTTACAATAGCCAAGATATAGAAGCAACCTAAGTGTCCTTCAATAAACAAATGGATAAAGAAGACATGGTACATATATACAATGGAATAGTAGACAAAAAGAAGAATGTAATCTTGACATATGCGACTACATGGATGGACCCAGAGGGTATTTTTCTATGTGAAATAAGCCAGACAGAGAAAGACAAATACCATATGATTTCACTGATATGTGGAATTTAAAAAACAAAATAAATGAACAAAGAAGATAGAAACAAAATCATAGATACAGAGAACATTTTGATGGCTTCCAGATGGGAGGGGGGCTAAGGGAATGGGTGAAAAAGGAAGGAATTAAGATGTACAGATTGCCAGTTATAAAAACAGTCACAGGGTTGCAAAGTACAGCATAGCCAATATCATCCTAATAAAAGAGAAACATGGTAATTGGCATACGACCGCTACCCTTCCCATTGGCTAATCAGGGCAATATGCAAATTAACTGTCAGCCAAGATGGCGGCCGGCAGCCAGGCAGGTTGGAAACTAACATGAGGCTTGCTTGCTTCAGTGACGGAGGACTCCAACGTTCCCCGCCTGCTGCTGCAGGTCTCTGAGCTGCAAGCAACTATGTAACAAACATAGAAGCTAAACAAAACCCCAGAAACCTGCCAGGCTTCAGCCAGCAGGATCGCAACATTGTAAGCAAAGGCCAGAAACCTACTTTCAGGAGGGGAGGCCTAAGAGCTGGAGCCAAGCCTCAAAGCTAAAGCTGGCCCAGAATAAAAAAAGAAAAAAAAAGAAAAAAAGGAGCGGTTGGGAGCTTCAGTCACCCCCAGCCTGAAAACAGCCCTCAGCTCCTCACCCAGACTGGCCAGGCACCCCAGTGGGGACCCCTACCCTGAAGGGTGTGTGACCAGCTACAAACAGCCATCATCCCCTCACCCAGGCTGGCCAGGCACCCCAGTGGGGACCCCCACCCTGATCCAGGACACCCTTCAGGGCAAACCAGCCGGCACCCACCCATGCACCAGGCCTCTACCCTATATAGTAAAAGGGTAACATGCCTCCCAGCACCGGGATCAGCGGAGCCGCGAGGCCTCCCGGCACCGGGATCAGCGTGACAAGGGGCAGCGCCCAAACCCCCTGATCGCCCTGCGGCTCTGTGACAGGGTGCGGCGCCCCAACGTCCCCCTCCCCCCCACGGGCCCTGCTCTGTGTGTGATGGGGTAGAGCCATAACCTCCCCGTCGGCCCTGCCCTGAGTGTGAGAGTGGCGGCACCCCAAACCCCTGATCGGCCCTGCTCTGTGGGTGATAGAGGGCGGCGCCCTAACCCCCTGATGGGCCCTGCTCTGTGCGTGACAGGGGGCTGCGCCCCAACCCCCCTGATGAGCCCTGCTCTGTGAGTGACAGGGGGAAATGCCCCAACCCCCTGATTGGCCCTGTTCTGTGCATGACGGGGTGGCGCCGCAACCTCCCCATCGACCCTGCCTTGAGTGTGACGGGATGGTGCCCCAACCCTCCAATCGGCCCTACCCTGAGCGTGACTGAGGGTGGAATCACAACCTCCCGAACGCCCTGCTCTGTGCATGACAGGGGGCGGTGCCCCAACTCCCCAATCGACCCTGCTCTGAGCCCAACCAGGGGCTGCACCTAGGGATTGGGCCTGCCCTCTGCCACCTGGGAGCAGGCCTAAGCCAGCAGGTCATTATCTCCCGAGGGGTCCCAGTCTGCGAGAGGGCACAGGCTGGGCTGAGGGGTCCCCCTCCCCCCCGAGTGCACAAATTTTTGTGCACCGGGCCTCTAGTCCTATCTAATAAAAGACAAAAAGGGTAATTAACCGTACCTCCGCTATGCTTCCCATTGGCTAATCAGGGCGATATACAAATTAACTGCCAACAAAGATGGAGGCTGGCAGCCACGCAGCTGAAGCAAACAGGAGGCTTGCTTGCTCCAGTGATGGAGGAAGCCAAGGTTTCCCACCTGCTGCGGCCCGGCTCGGAGCTCTGAAAGCAAAAATGTTTAATTATAGAAGCTAAACAAACCCCAGATACCTGCTTTCAGCCTGCCGGGGCCTCAGAGCTTAGAGCGCCAGTGGTGGCAACAGAGTTTCAATTATAGAAGGTAAATAAATCCCAGAATAAAAAGAAAAAAGAAAAAAAGGAGAAGCTGGGAGGTTCAGTCACCCGCCAGCCTGAAAACGGCCCTCAGCCCCTCACCCAGACTGGCCAGGCACCCCAGTGGGGTCCTCCACCCTGAAGGGGGTGTGACCAGCTGCAAACAGCTATCAGCCCCTCACCCATGCTAGCCAGGCACCCCAGTGGTCCCCCACCCTGATCCGGGACACCCTTCAGGGTAAACCAGCCGGCCCCCACCCGTGCACCAGGCCTCTATCCTATATAGTAAAAGGGTAATATGCAAACTGACCCTAACAGCAGAAAGACTGGGAATGACTGGTCACTATGACACACACTGACCACCAGGGGGCAGACGCTCAATGCAGGAGCTGCCCTCTGGTGGTCAGTGAGTTCCTACATGGGGGAGTTCTGCTCAGCCACAAGCCAGGCTGATGGCTGCCAGTACAGTGGTGGTGGTGGGGGCCTCTCCTGCCTCCTCAGCAGCGCTAAGGATGTCCAATTTCAGCTTAGGCCTGCTCCCCGCTGGCAAGTGGACTTCTCCCGAGGGCTGCCTGGCTGCCAGAGGGATGTCTGATTACCATCTTAGGCCCAATCCCCCGGGGAGCAGGCCTAAGCCAGCAGGTGGTCATCCCCCGAGGGGTCCCAGAATGCGAGAGGGCACAGGCCGGGCTAAGGGACCCCCCCACTCCCGAGTGCACAAATTTTTGTGCACTGGGCCTCTAGTCAATATTATAATAGCTATGCATGGTGTCAGACAAGTACTAGACTCACTGGGGTGATCATTTTGTAAGTTATATAAATGTCTAATTGCTATGTTGTACACCTGAAACTACTATAATATTGTATGTCAACTGTAATTGAAAAATAAAAAAGTTATAAAAAAGTATCAGTTCTACCCCTGACTTACTGAATTAGAATATTTTGGGGGATGGGACCATGTGTGTGTACCTGTGTGTGTGTGTGTGTGTGTGTGTGTAAGAGAGAGAGAGAGAGAGAGAGAGAGAGAGAGACTCTGATGTATGCCATTTGTTAGATATCACTAAGTGAATTAATGTATGTGTTTTCCATCCCAAGAATTTGTCAAATTGTCTGAGCCTATTGTTTTTAATATTAATAAACTTAATATGCATGTGCATAGATTTTTCTTCTGCATATTTTTTATAATGCTTTCAGTTCCTGGGAAATTTTTTTCTGTTACTTGGTGTCAGCTGGTATAAACTTATTAATTAGTGTTACTCCGTAAAATCAATTTTGAGCAAATGAAATGCAGTGCAGAAGTTAAAAGGCACTTCCGTAACTTTCTTTCTTATTGCCCCATAGGGACAGAAGCCAGGACGGATAATCAAGTATGGTACCTGAGAACTGCAAAGCTGGCTCTGGCCTTGGCGATTATCCGCTCAAAGCCAGCAGACAGAAGCAGCAGGGAGCACACGGAGCACCTTGCGAGGGTCGTGTCGGGGCAGGAGTCTGAGTGGAGATCTAGAGTTGAAACCCTGGAAGCTGAAGTTTTGCAGTTGCGTCAAAAACTTCTTCTGAGCAGGATGCGTTCCGGATCGTTTCAGAGTGGTGAGTGTGAAATTACCTTTTGTTAATACCTCCATCTGTTTTATTTCAGTTTCACAATTATTTAGAAATTGTTTAGGTTCCTAAAACTAGACTTCTTCTAGGCCTATAAAGATTTTTTACTTCTAGCCATTTATTAAAACTTTATTGTTACTTCCTAATGAATGGGCTACATTAAGCAGTGGGATGAATTTAGAGAATGAAAATAGATGTGAAGACAACAATGTTTTAAGGCTTACAGATAAATTAATTTTAAAATCACATTGTTCAACCTTATTGGTATATGTATTTTATGTTGCTTTGGTATTAAATGTTATTTGTGTATTTTATGTCGCTTTTATGTCAGATAATTCATCTAGCAATCATATATCAAGTACCAGCTGTGGACCAGGCATTTAGTGGGTGATGAGGACCCAAAACCTACAAGAGGAGGTGCTGTCCTTGCCACTAGGTTCCTATTGTTCCAGCAGGGAAAATAGTTGTGATAAATGGGATAATAGAGGTGCTAACCAGGTGCAGAGGGGAAGCTATTCATTCTTCCTGGTTTCTAGAAGGTCTCCCAGCTCTGGCTACTAGTCATGAGATGGCCCTGAGGCAGTCGCAGGAACAAAGGCAGAGCAGTGGAAGACCCGTGTCCCATTCAGGATACTGCCAGCCACACTTCACAGTGACCAGAACACCGTAAGGTAGTGATGTGACGGGGGAGAAGTGAGCTTGTAGGATAAAAGGTTGTGTTCAGATTTGTCTGAGTATAATCTGACCCTGAATATACAGGGATTACCTCAAAGGAAGGTGAAATTATGTTTCTAAAATTCAAAGGGGATGAGAGGGAAGAGAGGTGAGTTGGGACCAGGATCAGGAGAGCCTTGAATATCAGCCTAGAGACTATTTTACTATATATCCTATCAGTAAGTTTACCATACAATTTATGGTCTGGGTAGGACGCTTATGAGAGAGAAAGGAAGGGACTATTGATAATTATACTAGGGCAACAGGAAAAAACCAGGACTCACTTTAACAAACTAGAACATGTGGTCACCCCCTTCATTAGGAGCCATGGGACTCCTTTGATGCAGGGGATTGACCCTAATATTGGGGTTGGGAAACATAATTCTGGTGATTTAAAAACAAAACAGAAAAAATAAATTAGATCATGTTACTCCTTTGTGGAAAACCCTTCTCTGTATCCAGTCCACTTTACGTTATATACAGACTTGTGGTCGGTGCTGGGGATGCTGTGGGTGACTTCACCTCTATTCACCTCTCCCACCTTCTCTCATACACACCCCCTTGTCAACTCTGTCACAGCCACCATGGGCGTCCTTCCAGCCCTCGAGGCTCTTCTTGCCTTGGTCTTTGTTATGCTCTTTTCTTGGACTCTCTTTGTGGCTGGCCTCTTCCCTTCCTAGAGGTCTGATTCTAAATGACACCTCCTAAGTGTGTACTCTATATACACAGTAACCCCTCACAATTATTCTTTAAGCAAACACCCCCTATGGGCTATTTATTTGTTTAATTAGTTGCTGCCATAGTCTGTTTATTTATTTAGGCTCTCCAGATCGAGAGCCTAAATTCACTGGGAAAAGGACCCATGGAAAGAATGTGACTGTCACATTAGGAGTACGCAAGTGTAGTGCACACATGATTGCTACGGGTGATAGGTACTCACTAACTTCCGTTTGGGGGATGGTCAGGAAAGCTCACTATCCTAATATCCAGATGTTACTAAAGAGTGTTATATGATTGATAGCCACATTTTAGTCTCTCTAGAGCAGTGGTTCTCAACCTTCTGGCCCTTTAAATATAGTTCCTCATGTTGTGACCCCAACCATAAAATTATTTTCGTTGCTACTTCATAACTGTAATGTTGCTACTGTTATGAATCGTAATGTAAATATCTGATATGCAGGATGGTCTTAGGCGACCCCTGTGAAAGGGTCGTTTGACCGCCAAAGGGGTCACGACCCACAGGTTGAGAACCGCTGCTCTAGAGTCTTTCTAGGTAATGGTACCCAGTGAATGGCAAACATAATCACTTTTAATTTTCTCTGTAAAGTTATGATTGACACAATGCATACATATAAAAATTTCCAGTAATCTTAAAGTGTGACTATCATAAACATCCATATCAAAACTGCTGTTTACTGTGGTCTATTTATAACCCTGATATAGTGACATGATGTATTTTTTGTTTGGAATAAGAGTGTCCCTAACAGTGAGAGCCTTGGAGATAACTTGTTCTTACACTGAAAACTTTCATAGCGCCTGTGAGAGAAATTTTCAAATACCGTATAATTAAAATCAGTTTTACTCACAGCAGGAGTTGCAGGTAAAGCGTTTCATCGCAGATGTTTGGACATAATCTATCTCTCAATCTGTTAGCTTAAACTTGAAAAATAAGGAATAAATGGATTGATTCAGATAAATAGAGTCACTCTTAAAGGAAAGAAAAAAACCTTAAGGGGGTAAAGTAGATTGATAGGAAAATAAAGGAGGAACACAGATGTTATTTCAAGATGTATAATTTGAAAGGCTGACATACCTTGCTAAGAAAACTTCATACCTAAAAGTCAAAATGATGTTATAGATGTATTTATATTATTAAATATTTCTTTCTGGAACTTTCAGGGTTGCTTTACATATGCAACTCTTCTGGAGTGTTTAGACAGCAGGCCCTCGATAAATGTTGAATGAAATACTTCTTGACAGAAAGAGGGGCTGAGGAACTGAGTTTACAATATCAACTACCCATTGAAGCAACTGAGATACCCAGATTGAAATAAAGCAGAGCTGAAATGTCAAAGTAAACAAATAAGGAAGTATGATATACTTTTTAAAGCATTTTAGGAACTCAGCTATTTAATTTCTTTTTCTACAGCTTCTTAAAGAGAAATATATTTTTAAATATTATTTATTAAGGGACTAAACTATACATAGAAGGGATAAATAGAACTTTCTGAGAATTATGCCACATTTTTATTTTACTTAAATGCTCCTTAGCAGTGGGAAGAAAGAAGGAAAGAAAGAAGGAGAAAGGGAGGGAGAGAGAAAGAGAGGAAGGATCAAAGAAGCCCAGATATCCAGTGACATTCCTCAGAACCCTTGTGGTGGTGCATGGCAAACATAGTAAGCTGTCTACTTTATATCTAGCTTTTTTCTTCCTTACTAAAGAACTACTAATTTTCTTTTGGCAGAAGTGTGCTCATGTCCAGTGAGTTAACCCATGAACACCTTTGACTTGTTTTTGCCAATATTGTTCTAAGGTTGGGCAGCAACCATTGAAAGATAAAAAGCAGTCTTATGAGCTTTTTTTCTTAATTTTAATTTATTAATTTTAGAGAGAGGAAGGGAGAGGGAGAAAGAGAGGCAGAGAGACAGAAACATTGATCAACTGCTTCGTGCACGCCCCCTATCTAGGATCAAGCTCACAACTGGGAATCGAACCAGCAACCTTGTGGGTGCATGGGATAACACCAAACTAACTGAGCCCAAAACAGCCAGGGTAGTCTTTTGAGTTTTTGATAAATATTTGTTTCTTTGGTTAAAAGACTGAGGTTCCTGAAAGAGAGTGATTAATATATTTTTTTTAACCTCAATCATCCTTTTTCCTGTATGAGTCACTGCCACATGAAGACATGATGCCTGGGACTGTGGTAGCCATTTTGTAACTGGAGGCAATATTGAAAACTAGAGGCCCAGTGCACGAAATTGTGCACGGGGGGGGGGGTGTCCCTCAGCCAAGCCTGCACCCTCTCATAATCCAGAACCGCTGTCTCCTAACCGCTAGCCTGCCTGCCTGCCTGATCGCCCCTAACTGCTCACCTGCCTGCCTGATCACCCCTAACTGCTCACCTGCCTGCCTGATCGCCGCTAACTGCTCACCTGCCTGCCTGATTGCCCCTAACCACTCTTCCTGCCTGCCTGATCACCCCTAACTGCCTCTGCCTCAGCCCCTGCCGCTGCGGCTTCGTCTAGAAGGACGACAGCAATGACATCAGGAGGTTGTTCAGATGTCTGGTCTAATTAGCATATTGCTCTTTTATTATTATAGATTAATGCCAACATGCTAAGAATGGTGAAGTAGTAGGATAAGAAGAACCTGCGTCCTTCTCGACATTGCTGAGAGGTCAAAGCAACTCTAGGCTTACTTTATAAGGAATTTTTAGAAAGGTCAACAATGGTTTAGGTCATTGTTATCCATGTATTCTCTTCCTTGTATCTGAGCACATCCTAATTTATGGGGTGGTGGGGGAGAGGGGTCATGAATAAATTAGAGCAACACTAAATTTTTCTCCCAAGAATCTTCTTGATCTACAGTGGAGAAAATTAAAGAGAAAAACTGTGTTATTTAATCTAGAACAGTTTCTTAAAGATGGCTTCATGATATTGGCAAGGATTTCATCTAGGACTGAGTAGGTGGGTGTGCGAGACCCAGAGCATAGAGATAGGCCAGGCAGGTGTTAGTGACTATTAGTGACTATTCTTCAGTGTTGACTAGGGATTGAAAGTGCATGGTGTCAGGAGCAGTGCCTTGTTGAGTGTGTGTGTGTGTGTGTGTGTGTGTGTGTGTGTGTGTGTGTGTGAGAGAGAGAGAGAGAGAGAGAGAGAGAGAGAGAGAGAGAGAGATTGAGAGATTGATTGAGAGATTGAGGGGAGACAGGCAAGGGGAATCTGGAGTTTGCTATGATACTTGTATAGTAATTTGGCATTCACAGGAGGGAAGCAGATGGATGAAGTGTCAGGTATGTGCTTTTCCCCTTACAATGTTATGTACTCAGTGTGTCTTTGGAAATGATAGATAGGCTACTGGAGGAGTAACTGGCTAGAGTAAAGAGAAAGTATGAGAAATTCAAATTAAATGAATTCATTGCTTTATTTGTGAAGCTCATTGAATACAGAGTAAGTGTGGAGGTTGTGTGCAGAGCAGTACAATTAGTTTAGGATGAATTTAGCTCATCTGCTAGTAAGATTGGGTCCTGTGAAACAACCCATCCAACCAGATG